TTGCTGTGAACAAGGGTATGTTGCTGCAAGCCAAGGTATGTTGCCAAGCCTGGGTATGTTTCTGTGAGACTGGGTAAGTTGCTGATGAATTTGGGTATGATGCTGTGAGCCAGGCTATGTTCTTGTGAACCTGGGTATGTTACTTTCACCCAGGATATGTTGCTGTGAACCAGGGTATGTTGCTGTGAACCAGGGTATGCTGCTGTGAGCCTGGGTATGTTCTTGTGAACCAGAGTATGTTGTTGTAAGCCAGGGTATGTTGCTATGAGGCTGGGTATGTTGCTGTGACCCAGGGTATGTTGCTGTGAGCCTGGATATGTTGCTGTGAACCAGGGTATGTTGCTGTGAACCAGGGTATGTTGCTGTGAACCAGGGTATGTTGCTGTGAACCAGGGTATGTTGCTGTGAACCAGGGTATGTTGCTGTGAACCAGGGTATGTTGCTATGAGCCTGGGTATGTTGCTGTGAACCAGGGTATGTTGCTGTGAGCCTGGGTATGTTCCTGTAAACCTGGGTATGTTACTTTTAGCCAGGGGATGTTGCTGCAAACCAGGGTATGTAGATGTGAACCAGGGCATGTTGCTGTAAGCCTGGGTATATTGCTGTGAGCCAGGGTATGTTACTTTCAGCCAGTGTATGTTGCTGTGAACCATGGTATGCTGCTCTGAGCCTTTGTATGTTGCTGTGAACCTGGGTAAGTTGCTGTGAACCAGGGTAAGTTGCTGTGAACTGGAGTATGTTGCTGTGAGCCTGGGTATGTTGCTGTGAACCAGGGTATGTTGCTGTGAGCCTGGGTATGTTGCAGTGAACCAGGATATGTTGTTGTAACCCTGGGCATGTTGCTTTGAGCATGGGTACATTGCTGTGAACCCAGGTATGTTGCCATGAGCCAGGTTGTTGCTGTGAACCATTGTATGTTATTGAGAGTCAGGGTATGTTGCTGTGAGTTATTGTATGTTGCTGTGCATCAAGGTATGTTGCTGTGAGTCAGGGTATGTTGCTCTGAGCCAGGGTATATTGCTGAGCCAGGGAATGTTGCTGTGAACCAGAGTATGTTGCTGTGAACCAGAGTATGTTGATGTGAGCCTGGCCATATTGCCATGAACCAGGGTATGTGCTGTGAGTCAAGGTATGTTGCTGTGAACAAGGGTATGTTGCTGTGAGACTGGGTAAGTTGCTGATGAATATGGGTATGATGCTGTGAGCCAGGCTATGTTCTTGTGAACCAGGGTATGTTACTTTCACCCAGGGTATGTTGCTGTGAGCCTGGGTATGTTGCTGTGAACCAAGGTATGTTGCTGTGAACCAGGGTATGTTGCTGTGAACCAGGGTATGTTGCTGTGAGTCAGGGTATTTTGCTGTGAACCAGGATATGTTGCTGTGAACCAGGGTATATTGCTGTGAGACTAGGTATACTACTGTGAACCAGGTTATGTTGCTGTGAGTCAGGTTATGTTGCTGTGAGTCAGGGTATGTTGCTGTGAGCCTGGGTATGTTTCTGTGAACCAGGGTATGTTACTTTTAGCCAGGGTATGTTGCTGTGAACCAGGGTATGTTGCTGTGAACCAGGGTATGTTGCTGTGAACCAGGGTATGTTGCTGTGAGCCTGGGTATATTGCTGTGAACCAGGGTATGTTACTTTCAGCCAGGGTATGTTGCTGTGAACCAGGGTATTTTGCTCTGAGCCTTGGTATGTTGCTTTGAACCTAGGTATATTACTGTGAACCAGGGTATGTTGCTGTGAACCAGGGTATGTTGCTGTGAACCAGAGTATGTTGCTGTGAACCAGGGTGTGTTGTTGTGAGCAAGGGTATGTTGCTGTGAGCCTGGGCACATTGCTGTGAACCTGGGTATGTTGTTGTGAGTCAGGGTATGTTGCTGTGAACCATGGTATGTTGCTGTGAGCCTGGGTATATTGCTGTGAACCAGGGTATATTGCTGCAAACCAGGGTATGTTGTTGCAAACCAGGGTATGTTGTTGCAAACCAGGGTATGTTGTTGCAAACCAGGGTATGTTGTTGCAAACCAGGGTATGTTGTTGCAAACCAGGGTATGTTGTTGCAAACCAGGGTATGTTGTTGCAAACCAGGGTATGTTGTTGCAAACCAGGGTATGTTGCTGTGAGCCAGGTATGTTGTTGTGAGCCAGGGTATGTTGCTATACTGCATTAATGTGAAGATAATTTGTATAGTGTGACTAGTGACTCGTAATTGGACGTTCAATATTTGTGCAACTGCCGGAATAATGTGTGTCCATCTAAGTCTATCTGACCTGGTCTATCACCTGTCCACCCAAAACACTGTTTACACAATTTGTGTGCTCTACATCTCTGTATTCTGGCAACTATTACATTCATTTTATTTTCGTATTGTTGTTTTAGGCCTAGTTGTATTGCACACTTAATATATGTTGAAGATAAATTTAAAGCTAGCAGAGGCTGGTTTCTGAGGTTTAAGAAAGAAGCCAATTTGATAGCTGATGAAGCAGCAAGTGCTGACACTGTAGCTGTGGAGAATTATCCACATGACACTGTAGCTGTGTAGAATTATCCACATGGCAATAGCTGCAGAAAATTATCCACATGACACTGTAGCTGCAGAAAATTATCCACATGACACTAGCTGTGGAGAATTATCCACATGACACTGTAGCTGTGGAGAATAATCCACATGAGCTGGCTGGATATACCAAGCAAATGATTTTTAATGTGGATGAAACTGCATTACAGTAGTACCTTGGTACCTTGGTACTTTGGTACCTTGGTACCTTGGTACCTTGGTACTTTGGTACCTTGGTACCTTGGTACCTTGGTACTTTGGTACCTTGGTACCTTGGTACTTTGGTACCTTGGTACCTTGGTACTTTGGTACCTTGGTACCTTGGTACTTTGGTACCTTGGTACCTTGGTACTTTGGTACCTTGGTACCTTGGTACTTTGGTACCTTGGTACCTTGGTACTTTGGTACCTTGGTACCTTGGTACTTTGGTACCTTGGTACCTTGGTACCTTTGGTACTTTGGTACCTTGGTACCTTGGTACTTTGGTACCTTGGTACCTTGGTACTTTGGTACCTTGGTACCTTGGTACTTTGGTACCTTGGTACCTTGGTACTTTGGTACCTTGGTACCTTGGTACCTTGGTACCTTGGTACCTGGTACCTTGGTACCTTGGTACTTTGGTACCTTGGTACCTTGGTACTTTGGTACCTTGGTACTTTGGTACCTTGGTACCTTGGTACCTTGGTACCTTGTACCTTGGTACTTTGGTACCTTGGTACCTTGGTACTTTGGTACCTTGGTACCTTGGTACTTGGTACCTTGGTACCTTGGTACTTTGGTACCTTGGTACCTTGGTACTTTGGTACCTTGGTACCTTGGTACTTTGGTACCTTGGTACCTTGGTACTTTGGTACCTTGGTACCTTGGTACTTTGGTACCTTGGTACCTTGGTACCTTGGTACTTTGGTACCTTGGTACCTTGGTACTTTGGTACCTTGGTACCTTGGTACTTTGGTACCTTGGTACCTTGGTACTTTGGTACCTTGGTACCTTGGTACTTTGGTACCTTGGTACCTTGGTACCTTGGTACCTTGGTACCTTGGTACCTTGGTACCTTGGTACTTTGGTACCTTGGTACCTTGGTACTTTGGTACCTTGGTACTTTGGTACCTTGGTACCTGGTACCTTGGTACCTTGGTACTTGGTACTTGGTACCTTGGTACCTTGGTACTTTGGTACCTTGGTACTTTGGTACCTTGGTACCTTGGTACCTTGGTACTTTGGTACCTTGGTACCTTGGTACTTTGGTACCTTGGTACCTTGGTACTTTGGTACCTTGGTACCTTGGTACCTTGGTACTTTGGTACCTTGGTACCTTGGTACCTGGTACTTTGGTACCTTGGTACCTTGGTACTTTGGTACCTTGGTACCTTGGTACTTTGGTACCTTGGTACCTTGGTACTTTGGTACCTTGGTACCTTGGTACTTTGGTACCTTGGTACCTTGGTACCTTGGTACTTTGGTACCTTGGTACCTTGGTACCTTGGTACTTTGGTACCTTGGTACCTTGGTACTTTGGTACCTTGGTACCTTGGTACCTTGGTACTTTGGTACCTTGGTACCTTGGTACCTTGGTACCTTGGTACCTTGGTACTTTGGTACCTTGGTACCTTGGTACTTTGGTACTTGGTACCTTGGTACTTTGGTACCTTGGTACCTTGGTACCTTGGTACCTTGGTACTTTGGTACCTTGGTACCTTGGTACTTTGGTACCTTGGTACCTTGGTACCTTGGTACTTTGGTACCTTGGTACCTTGGTACCTTGTACTTTGGTACCTTGGTACCTTGGTACCTTGGTACTTTGGTACCTTGGTACCTTGGTACTTTGGTACCTTGGTACCTTGGTACCTTGGTACTTTGGTACCTTGGTACCTTGGTACCTGGTACTTTGGTACCTTGGTACTTGGTACTTTGGTACTTGGTACCTTGGTACTTTGGTACCTTGGTACCTTGGTACCTTGGTACTTTGGTACCTTGGTACCTTGGTACCTTGGTAACTTTGGTACCTTGGTACTTTGGTACCTTGGTACCTTGGTACCTTGGTACCTTGGTACTTTGGTACCTTGGTACCTTGGTACCTTGGTACTTTGGTACCTTGGTACCTTGGTACTTTGGTACCTTGGTACCTTGGTACCTTGGTACTTTGGTACCTTGGTACTTTGGTACCTTGGTACCTTGGTACCTTGGTACCTTGGTACTTTGGTACCTTGGTACCTTGGTACTTTGGTACCTTGGTACCTTGGTACTTTGGTACCTTGGTACCTTGGTACTTTGGTACCTTGGTACCTTGGTACCTTGGTACTTTGGTACCTTGGTACCTTGGTACCTTGGTACTTTGGTACCTTGGTACCTTGGTACTTTGGTACCTTGGTACCTTGGTACTTTGGTACCTTGGTACCTTGGTACCTTGGTACCTTGGTACCTTGGTACCTTGGTACCTTGGTACTTTGGTACCTTGGTACCTTGGTACCTTGGTACTTGAACAGCTCCCAACTCGAACAATTTAGTATCTGAACACTTCGTTTGGTAAAAAAACTGCTGAGTAGTCGACCGTTTACTTGGCACTAAACCAAACAATGAGTTTTTTATATTATGTATTTGTATAAATAAATCACCATGAGGCCTAAAAAGATTAGTGATAACAGCCAACCAAAAAGAAAACTGGGTAGAGTCACAATAGAGACGAAAAATTATTATTAATTATTTCTCATGGGAAAAACTTGTTTGATACTCGAACAGCTTTCTGGAATGAATTAAGTTTGAGTATTGAGGTTTCACTGTATTTTGAAGATGTCTTCTAGGATATTTATTGCTAAAGAAGAGAAATCAGTGCCTGGTAACACAGCTGCACAAGACAAACTTTATGTCTTTCTCTGGAATAAAAAATGTAGCTTTACATGTTATAAAATATTGTTAAACACAAAAAATGACAGGCTAACACTCTTGCTAGGGGCTAATATAGCCTCTCCTCACTTAACAATGGAGTTCCATTCCTAAGACCACATTGGTAAGTGAATTCATTGCTACTTCATTGCTTAGTTAATCTTAAGCCTGCCCGTAATGCTATGCATTCAAGTGGCTTTGGCATGCTGCATTTAACTGTATTCTTTTGTACTTCTCTGTATCATGTTCAAATTAATAAATAAATAAATAAGTGAGGGGCATACTGTAATGGTAGTGGGTTTGTGTCAACTATCTTTGATATTGTTTTAATGTCACCTTTGCACTATTTATATCATTTCTGGTAAATTTTAAAATGTTTATACAATATTGTACTGCATACTGAAATAAACAGAATAGAGGAAATCAGCTCTAATATACATTATTTAGGCATGCATACTGGTGAGAAAGCCCATCGTAAGTCCGAGTCAGTGGTAAACGAGTAAGTCACTAAGTGAGGAGCGGCTGTATTACTCTCCACTTGCTCTAAGCTAAAGACGAAAATATTTTAAGTAATGAGTGTACTGTATATGTATTTTACTATTTTATTGTTTTTAGGCCTAGTTCTATTGTTCACATAATACATGGTAGTGTAAACATGTCATCAGGCATTTATATGCATTTAAAAGTGAAAACAAGGGTAATTCACTTTACTATGATTTTTGCTTTATGGCAGTAGCCTGGAACCTAACCCAACATATAAATGGAGCACTACTGTAGAGGGCAACGAACCTGTTGAGTATACCCGGTACAATGTAAAGTAGAGAGAGTTATTATTAAAAAAATTAAGGATTGGAGAGAAACAAGAGGTTTTAGGAAGGTTGGGGGATGTGTTGACCAAGTGTTTATGGTGAAGCATACAACTGGACAGAACTTAAAGCACTGTGGTAGATACTGCAAATGAATAGAATAGGTGGTAGATCATAAAAAGCAGTTAAGAGTTTTATGTGGATACTGAGGCTCAGGTTAGGGTATGTAGGAGAGAGAGGGCAAATTGATTCTCCATTAAAAGTAGGCCTCCAACAGGGATATGTAATGTCACCATGATTGTTTAACAATTTTTTTTTAGCATGTCAGCCATTTCCCAAAGTGGGAGTTGTCACAACTACCTTTTGTCTTAGTTTAAATAGTTTAGTATGTTTATTATGCACGCCATACCCATCCTGTGGGCGTAGTCAAAAGATTACAGAGGTACATAATGGGTCCAGGGACTGGGCCCCAAAGTTTTGATAGCTGAGAAAGTTACAAAGGTAATGAACTCCAGGTACCTTTTGCCATAGTTATTTTGAGAAATTCTAAAGAGAAGGGGCAAAGGATGGTGGAGTAATTTGGGAGGGTATGTAAAAGAAGGAAATTAAAAGTAAATGTGTTCAGGTATTTGAGAGTGGAACTGTCAGTGGACTGGTCTATGAAAGATGAGGTGAACCATAGAACTGATGAGGGAATGAAGATGGGTGGTGCACTAAGGCATCTGTGAAGACAAGGAACTTGAGCCATGGAAACAAAAATGGGTATATACCAAAAGAGAGTAATACCAACACTGTTATATGGGTGTGAAACACAAGTTTTAAATTTTGCAGTGAGGAAGCTAGAGAGAGTGAAGATACCATGTTGAAGGATGATGTTTTGTGTAAATATTATATAAAGAATTCAGAGCCTGGAGATCAGAAGGTGTGGGATTACCAAAGTATTATTCAGAGTGCTGAGGAAGAGTTATTGAGGTAGTCTGAGTATAGAAAAGATGGAGAAAAATAGGATTAATAGGAAGGGGTATAAATCTGTGGTGGAGGGAAGGAGGATAGGTTGGAAAAAATCAAGGTTTTGAGCACTAGGGGTCTGGACATTTAACAGGCTCCTGAGTGTGTTAGATAAGAGAGAAAGAAGGTAAATGAATTTTATGACAATGTGCTTTTAGTGTGTGAGGAAGGTAATATTTATAAAGATATTCAGGAAAACCAGTTAGCTGGGTTTGAGTCTGAAGGTGTGAAGTACACTGTTAGAATTCTAAAGAAGAGGTAAGGATGGAGCAGCTTAAAAGGTTGTATGTAGTTCACTTGATGTGCCAGGAGCCAGGAATGAATCAATCACAACAAGTGGGAGACACCTATTCCTCGCTGCTGCTCTACATTACTCTCTTATCTCTCTTTTCTCTATCTCTCTCTCTCTCTCTCTCTCACACTCTCTCTCAGGTGTTACTTATGAGGCACCAACAGGTAAACCAAGTATAGACTTACAAAACTAGACAAAACTGAGTTTCAACAATATATACCCAAGTATTGCACAAGTTTTACTCCTCTTTTCAAAAATTCATCTACAAATAATTATCTTAGGTGGCTCCTACTATAATACAAATAATATAAAATATATGAGCATTGAACTGAATGGCATTCATGTTACGATAACTATAATAAAAAGAACAGCCCTGGAAAAGGTTATCATGCCGCTGCCTACCTATTCAAAAAATTAAGTTTGAACTTTAAATTGGATGGTTGGCATGGATGGTCAAGAGATTAAGAGCAAGATACAGTACTTTAAGCAACAACACTCTCATTATCATACAATAAATCCTCTTCCTTGGCTGGCACGAGCTGCTATGTTTATGGCAGATAATAAAGCTGGTCTTAAGCGAGGAGAAACATACAGCTTAATACGGGCGAGATGTCCAGGCATGTGATCACCTTCCTCCGAGGATCCTGGTGAAGAGTCTAACCCACCAGCTTCCACTCCCTCACTACACGTGCTGCGTACATAGTCAGCAACACGCTCAGGACACCCACTCACAGGCTGCAATGAAGTCCAAAAATAATGCTACTGTAACAACATATTCAATAAATAAATTAATATAAAAAATCATGAGAAAGTCACACCTCTATATCTGCTACTTTCCAATTCACTAATGTGGTCATTCAAGGCAGGGTTGAGGGAAGGTGCCACAAAAAACTCGGCTACTCAGAGTCAGCAATTCCCGTCAATGCCACTGCAAGAATTATGACTGAATTATGGATGTTTTCTCTGGTATTAGATATCTCCAAAAAGGGACCTTTAACTTCTTGCCTCAATGTTTTCTTTTTTTCTTCTTCTTCCTCCAACTTCTCAATTTTATTTCAGATGGAAATTATTTCTTTCTTATTTAAAATTTAGTGGATCACATACTAGGATTTTATTTTTACCCCCTTGAAACTTTAAGGAGTTAATAGCACTCAAGATTTTGGGATTACAGAACATGTCCATGCCATAAGATTATGCTTAGTAAGTTTCCAAATGCTTTTTATCACATTTAAGTCCATTCAGTTTTCAGACACATCATTAATGAAGAATGGAAAAATCACAACAATTTAGCCAATTATTTGTCCTTGGTAGTATGGCCCTTGGCACTGTCTGCAAAACAAACATAGCTATGGCACTGTCTGCCATACAAACATAGCTATGGCACTGTCTTCCATACAAGCACTGCCCTGGCACTGTCTTCCATACAAACATTGCCTTGGCACTGTCTTCCATACAAACATTGCCCTGGCACTGTCTTCCATACAAACACTGCCTCAGCACTGTCTTCCATACAAACACTGCCTTGGCACTGTCTTCCAAACAAACAGTGCCCTGGCACTGTCTTCCATACAAACATCACCCTGGTGCTGTCTGCCAAACAAACATTGCCCTAGCACTGTATTCCATACAAACATTACCCTGGCACTGTCTTCCATACAAACATTGCTTTGGCACTGTCTTCCATACAAACACTGCTCTGGCACTGTCTTCCATACAAACACTGCCCTGGCACTGTCTTCCATACAAACATCACCCTGGCACTGTCTTCCATACATTGCCCTGGCACTGTCTTCCATACACACATCACCCTGGCACTGTCTTCCACACAAACATCACCCTGGCACTGTCTTCCATACAAACATCGCCCTGGCACTGTCTTCCATACAAACATTGCCCTGGCACTGTCTTCCATACAAACATCACCCTGGCACTGTCTTCCATACAAACATTGCCCTGGCACTGTCTTCCATACAAACATCACCCTGGCACTGTCTTCCATACAAACATCACCCTGGCACTGTCTTCCATACAAACATCGCCCTGGCACTGTCTTCCATACAAACATCACCCTGGCACTGTCTTCCATACAAACATCACCCTGGCACTGTCTTCCATACAAACATCACCCTGGCACTGTCTTCCATACAAACATCGCCCTGGCACTTCGTGGACCTGTCAGACCAATAGTCAACTAAAGATATAGTTTTGACCTGAATATTTACACCATCTACTGAGTGAATGTGTATTAATAAAGACAACAGATATCTGTATAGATATTTTGTTTGCAGATATCAATATAATTAATGGTTTATATAAGAAAGCTTTTTAAAAATTACTTTCATTGCAATCATGACTAATTTTTCGTTTTCAATAATAGATTTTATACATAGTTTTGGTCACTGTATTACAGAATGGATATAAGTGCACTGGAAAACATACAGAGGAGGATGACAAAGTTGATCCCATGTATCAGAAATCTTCCCTATGAGGATAGACTGAGGGGCCTGAATCTGCACTCTCTCGAAAGGCATAGAATTAGGGGAGAATGAATGAGGTGTATAAATGAAAAACAGGAATTAATAAAGGGATGTAAATAGCGTGCTAAAAATATCTAGCATAGACAGGACTCGCAGTAATGGTTTTAAGTTCGAAAAATTCAGACTCAGGAAGGATATTATGAGACATAGGTAAATGGTTAAATGGTATAGGCATAATGCACACAGTAATAGTTACAAAGAATATATTATTAAGAACAGCATTTTAGGTAAGACAAACTTGTAACAGTAGTTACATTTACAATGTTCAATGAGAATATTAACTGGGTAAAAGGATAAGGCAACTTTAATTTTTATGAATAGAACAAAAAACATAAATACAAAGAAAAATGGTATGAAATAGGAAATGTAATAGATAAATTACAAAACACGAAGATTTTCAATGAATAAATTAATACTCTGTAAAATACAGTTAAAAAGATAAATATACCACTGTGAACTTTTTATGTAACAAAAAAAAAGAAGGCAGAACAAAAGTCAAATAGAAAACCTCATAGCAATGTTTATTATTCTGGGCAGTGTAACGCTTAGACAAATACTAATTAACCAAAATACAAAATCTCCACAGGGAAGTGGAAAAGAGTCGTTCCTCCGTAAGTCATGCGTGTTGTACAAGGCGACTAACATGCCAGGAACAAGGGGCTAGTAACACCTTCTCCTGTATACATTACTAAAGTTAAAAAGAAAAACTTTTGTTTTTCTTTTTAAGTCACTCTGCCCTGGTGGGATACGGTCAGTTTGTTAAAAGAAAAAAAAAATACAAAGTATATTGAATACTGTGTAGAACAGATGACCAGACTAAAAGATAACATTATATAAAGCTGTTAGAAATTTTAATGATAATTTATGAAAAATATTAGATTAAGTCTTAGTGTCTGAGTTAACTATAAGAGAATTATAAAGTAAAATAAAGTGTGAAAATAGTGGTTGGAAATGTAATTAAATTTAAGAACTGGTACATTGTGGAATTTAAAGTTTGGATGAAAATGTATAAAAGAAATTCAAAAGGGTATACATATAAAATTGTTTCATGGGGGGAAATAAGTCACTGTGTCTGACTTTTTTGGGTTATCCCAGGTTCTCTACACATATGCTGCTATGTATGATAATTCTATGTAACTGTATTTGTGTATACCTGAATAAACTTACTTACTTACACAATAAATTTTAAGGTTTTGCCTGAATTTATAAAGAAAATTAAATTTTTTAATTCATATAGTAACTAATTCCACTTTTTACCCTTTTATTTAGATGTATCTTTTATTTAGATGTATCTTTTATTTAGATGTATCTTTTATTTAGACTAATCTTTTATTTAGATGTATCTTTTATTTAGATGTATCTTTTATTTAGATGTATCTTTCATTTAGATTAATCTTTTATTTAGATGTATCTTTTATTTAGATTAATCTTTTATTTAGATGTATCTTTTATTTAGATGTATCTTTTATTTAGATGTATCTTTTATTTAGATGTATCTTTTATTTAGATGTATCTTTTACAAAAGATGAGGCAAACACAGGAATATTGATGAGGTACAGTATTTGTTATGTGCTCTGTTATGTTTAATGAAAAAGTGTCTTAGGTGAGCAACAGTGTTACAGTGTAGTGTTTTGAAGATGTGAAGTGAACAGTAATATGTAAAGTATAGTAAATAGTATTTATATTTAACAGGTTCAGGTACTTGATTATGGGTAGAATGTGATGCCTAAAATTTGAGTGTTTGCCTTTTGTTGTAATAACTGGTTAAGGGTTGATAGTTGAGGCTGAGCCCAAATACTGATTCCACTGGTGAATAAATGAGAGAGAAGCAGCATATTAATAATATACATTAGATAACATATAAGCACATTTTTGAAGATTATACCACCATTGTTAGGGACTATTTTTATCAGCATTAAATTTTTAATTTACCTACTATTAGCAAGTCAAAGAATTTATCCTCATACTTTATTTTTTCCTACACTGGATAAACTGTGTCTGACTGTGGACTTGGTTTATTCCAAAATATTATACAAGAAATATTTTTCTACTTTCATTATTCCTTTTGGGCCACCCTGACTCTGTGGGATATGGCCAGTTTGCTGAAAGAAGAAATATTTTTCTACAGCAAGAGTGAGTTTATCTGTCATCATCCAGGTGCAGACCAGATTTTTTTAGTTCCTTAGCTATAGAGTTTTCTCCATGGGGAAGTGGAACAGAGCTTTTCCTCCATAAGCCATGCGTGTTGTAAGAGGCGACTAACATGCTGGGAGCAAGGGGCTAGTAACTCTTTCTCCTGTATACATTACTAAAGTTAAAAAGAGAAACTTTTGTTTTTCTTTTTGGGCCACCCTGCCTTGGTGGGATATGCATTGAAAGAACCATAATATTTAACCCTTAAATGGTCCAAATGTATATACAGGTCTCCCTCAACATTCGCGTTTTCAACTTTCGTGGGCTTCACACATTCGCGAATTCCCAACCGCCAAATTCCCAGCCTCCAAATCATATTTAAGTTTACCGCCACGAGTCCTTACTACCCTCCCTCCGACCCCTGCAACTGGCAGCCAGCCCTCCCACCACTGTGGTGAGTGTTTTGTTTGTTCATTATTTGCTATTAAACTACAGTATAAATAATGTAAACCCATTCATGACTGCATATTAGAATGGCTATTGGGACAGGTATTGGAAGGTGACATCATGTGTTTACTCTTGAGCACAGCAAAGAATCAAACATTTCTGCTACTGCTAATAATAATAATAATAATAATAATAATAATAATAATAATAATAATAATAATAATAATAATAAATACGATAGAATTGAAGAAGGAAATTGTACAAAAATACGAGGGTTGAAGCAGTGGTGAAGGAAGTGGTTGACGCATCGTCAGTGTGGCTTTGTTTATGCTGGAGTGAGTATTAGTCTCCGTGCTCTTCCAAACATTTCACAATAATTCATTGTGTTTGGTGCTTGTAGATTGAGTGTGACTGGAGTGGTTGAGGCAGTGGTAGAGGCAGTGGTAGAGGCAGTGGTAGAGGCAGTGGTAGAGGCAGTGATAGAGGCAGTGATAGAGGCAGTGATAGAGGCAGTTATAGAGGCTGTGGTAGAGGCAGTGAAAGAGGCAGTGATAGAGGCAGTGGTAGAGGCAGTTATAGAGGCTGTGGTAGAGACAGTGATAGAGGCAGTGGTAGAGG